TTGTACCCCCTCCTGTCAAGGCTCCGGGCTTCTTTTGGCCTGTTGCTCTGTGGTGCCCAAGATCACCATGTGGTCTAAAATGCTACCATCCCTTTGCTGTCACAGGCAGAATTCCAGCCAGAGGAAGGAAAAAGAGAAGTGCCTTCCCTTTTAGGATTCTTCCCTGAAGATGCACAAATTACCTCTCTTTAAACCCCACTGGGGCCAGGTGCAGTGGCTCACGGCTGTAATCCCAGCACTTTGGGAGGCTGAGGCGGGAGGATCACTTGAGGCCTGGAGTTCGAGATCAGCCTGGGTAACATAGTGAGACCCTGTCTCTATTTTTAAAAAAACAAAAACAAAACAAAACAAAAATAAACCCCATGGGCCAGAACCTCACCATTTGGCTAGACCAACCGCTGGGGAAGCTTGGAAACATGGTCTTTATTCTGCACGGTGTGGCCAGCTAAACATCTGAGGGGTTGTTATTAAAGCAGGGGCTGTTGGGTTTCTTTGTCACATCACCTATCAGAGTTGCGGCGAAGTTAAAGAAGATAACACATGTGCCAATTGAACTGGGTTTTTTTTTTTTTTTTTCACCTATAAATCAGCCTGTTGATTTCTCAACTAGACATTCCAGAAGGCTGCTGTTTGGACTGAAACGTGTGGTGAATGAATGGAAAACTAAGTTCCAAACCAGATAGGACTCCTGATCATCGGGAGACTAGGAAGATGCTTGTTGTGAAGAAGAACCCCTACCTTTCAGTGCCTTGTTGACAACGACACCAGGAAAGTGGCCAAGATTTGCACTTTGCTGTGCAATCCAGGTGCTGTGCTGTGGGAGGTGGCCTGCCAGGCTGTGAGGACACTGGTTACCCACTGAACGTGGAAAGTGTAGGTAGATTCAGGATTCGTCAGTTGTAAGCAACAGAAACCCAACTCAAATGGGCTTAAATTTAAGGTGGAAATTTACTGGCTTTTGAAAGTGAAAAGTCTGGAGGGAGGTGGATGTCACAAGTACCAGGGTCTAGGGATTCAGACAGCTCAAGATTAAGTCTCGAGGTGGCCACAGGAAGCTACCTCAGAAAAGGGCAGACTTGGGGCTCCGGTCCCGCAAGGCTGAGGGCTATCTCCAGGGGCGTTAGCCTCTCTGCTCTTCCAGGCTGTCTTGGCCTGAAGGACTAGGGCTCCCACATTGGGGAAGTCCCTGAGCAGACAGCAGACATACCCCCAAGGAACCATCCTGGCCCCTGTGACTGAAGTCAAGGATGGCCTGAGGAGATGTGACGTGAGACACCAAAGGGTCTCAGCCAGCAGCACACCTGAGATGAGACCTCCCAAGGGCTGGGCTTGGCGAGGCGGACCTTGGCTCCAGAGCTTCCGCAGTGCCCCTCCACGGGATGCTCCCCGCTGCCTGCCTGGGCCTGAAGCCCATGTCAGACCCGCCCCTCCATCAGCCTCTGGTGAGGGGACGGTGGTCTCCCCACATGTGCTCCCTCCTGCTCTGTTCATCCCAGAAATTGTCCCCCACAAGGCATGAGCAGTCAATCAACAGAAGAAATACATGGTATTTCCTAGCACGACAGCTGCAGAATGAGCTGTTGAGGGCCCGGTCAGGAGCCTTGAACAGTTCCACCTTCTCCCCTCTAGACGTGGTCTGATGCCGCCCCATCCCCAGGAATCATGGTCTAACTTAAGGGTTGCCTCACCCATGGGAGATCCAAACCCCAAGGCTGACTTCCTGCCCTTTCCTGGGGAGAAGGCTCTTGTCCTCCGGCTACTCTTCAGCTCCTACTCAGGGGCAGCGGCTTAGAGCCTTGGCGCAGACAACCTGGGAAAGGCAGCAGGTAAATCGCCCTGCTGAGACGGAGCAAAGGGGTGACTTGGGAGGGGGAGGAGCTGCATCACCTTGGAGGCTGCGCCCTCCTGATAAAACCCGTAGAATAGCACAACGCAATGAGTAACCTTAATGGAAACTACTGACTCTAGTCGATGGTAATGTGTCCATGTTGGTTCACTAATTGTAACAAACGTCCCACCTTAATGCAAGAGATTCATAACAGGGCCAACTGTGCCCGGGGTGGGTGGAGTGGCTCAGTTATTCCGTTAATGCTAACACTTTACTAAAAAAGCCAGGTGTGGTGATGCTCACCCATAATCCCAGCTACTCTGGAGGCTGAGGTGGGTGGATTGCATGAGTCCAGGAGTTCAAGACTGGCCTGAGCAACATAGGAAGACCCCTTTTCAAAAGAAAGAAAGGAAAGAAAGAAAGGAAGGAAGGAAGGAAGGAAGGAAAGAAGAAGAAAAAGAAAGAAAGAAAGAAAAGAAAAGTGTACTAAAAGCATTTATTATTTAAAACAAAAACAAAAAAAGGCCCCTGGGAAGACCAAGTGTCACATGGCCTGCTTAGGACTGTGTGTCCTCACTTGCCAGCCCTAGGTCGCAGTTGCTGAGCTCCCACCCAGACCTAGGCGAGAGTGTAAACAGGCCTCAAATTCTGTTCCCATCAAAGAAGGTGCCCCAGCTTCCAGGCCTTCTAGGCTGTCACGGGGTGTGTGCTAGGCAATCTCTGGCTGGACTCCACATAGAATTTCCAGGGGCCAGCTGGGCTGAGGACCACCCCCTTGGAGGCCCACTCTGGCTGGGAGGGTGTGGAGGTTTGGGGAGACATGCAGGGTTTCCCTTCAGCAGGATGAAGATGGGAAGAGGACCGCTTGGCAAGTCTCAGCAGTGAGTGGCCCTGAGAGTCCACAGACTGCAGGGACATGTGGAATTGGGTGAAATTACAGGGGGAGAAGCAGGTAGAACTCAGGTTGGTAGTTGTTGAAAGTGGGGGGTGTGGGAGGAAGAAACACAAATCTGTCCCGTGTACCCCTAGGGGAGAGTAGATTATCTTCCTTTTGTTCCCTTCCTTGCTCAGTAGTCTTTATCCATGAGTCGAAATGATTTGTTTATATCCCTTCCTTCTCCTACCACACTGTGACCAGTTAGAGGGCCAGCACCAGTGTCTTATCCCTCTTTATATACCTAGCACCTGGTACAGGGTGGCACATAGTAGGTGCTCACTAAAGCTTGCTTGATTAAATGAGTCAAAGGCAGGTTGGGGTGGCTTGGATTGCCAGGAGGGTTGCTGTCAAAGTGTGGTCCATGGAATCCTGACCCACTTCCACATCAGGATCACGTGGGAGTCTTAACAATCCAGGTTGCCCTGGTCTAATCCCCAGAGGTTCTGAATGAGCAGGCATTGGCGGGGCCCAGGAGTTTGTATTCTTTGTAAGCTTCTGAGATAATTCTGATGCAGCTATCCATGGACCACATCTTAAAAAGCTGTCACCTGGAGTGGGGAGTGACACTGGTTGAGAAACTTCCTTCTGATGCCCCTGGAGGATGGAGGGAGGTGGGAGGGATCAGTCCATAAACATGGACTGGTATTAACATCCGTCCGTCCCTCTTTAAATCGTTAATGATGTGGGTCCACTTGGGCCCGTGGGTAGAGAAATCCCCTAATCCAGGACCTGGAGTTTCTGGGCCCATCTCATTCTGCTGGGCTCTGCGTTCCCAGATACGGATGCTGTGGTTTCAGCTGGGTTCACGTTCCAGTCACCCCCCACCCCATCCGAGTCCGTCAGCAGGTCAGTCCCTTCTATGGTAAAGGCCTGTGTGGTCTGGCCCTGCTCACCTCTCACATCAGTCCCTCTTGCTCTCTGTGCTAGCCACAGGGCCTTTGCACAAGATTTCCTCTGCTGGAAATGCTCTCCTCCACCTTCTCTGCTAGTTAATACTTCCTCAACCTTCAGCTCTCAGCTTAGACAAATCTTCCTTAAGGGAGCTGTCCTTGAACTCCAGATTCCCTTTTACAGGTGCTTATAGGACCATGGTCCCTTCCATATTTCAGTTTTATAAACATGCATTCATCATTACTAAGTTTGATTGCACTCTCCCTCTTTCCCACCAGACTCTCAGCTCTGCAAGAACGGGGACTGTATTTGATTTTGTTCATTTTTTAGCACTGGGCTTAGTGTGCGGCGTGTGTTTCCTAAGTATTTGTTGGAGGAATGAATTTTAGCTAATTACTCTGCAGGGCTGAAGAGGCCATAGTGTGAGTGGCCCCAGGGCCCAGGTCTAAGAGGGGCTGCCCTAACCCAGCTCAGATGGGACAGACGGCAAGAGATTCATAACAGGGCCAACTGTGCCCGGGGTGGGTGGCAGATCCTGAGATCCTGAGCCTCTGCCTCTGATGCAACGGGGTTGGGGGGCAGGGTTCACCCCATCATCTGCCTGGTGGCTGCCATTTCCTGCTTTGCCAGGCTGTCCCCACCAACAGGGAGCTGATATATCGAATCCCCCACCCCCACCCCCAGGGACAGTGAGCTCCTTAGGAGAAGGACTGTGGCTGATTCTGTCTCTAGTCCTAGCACTTTGGCACATATGAGTGCTCAATGAGCGTTTCGAATGAATGGATGAATGAATGGTCAGTACATGCACGGGCGGATGGTTAAATGCCTGTGGACCAGAGAGCACTTCACCATTCCCAAGGCACCTGGCACTTGGCACCTGGCAGCCTGTGGAAGAACAGGAGCCTTCCAGCTGCCTCTCCTAGCGCCTCCATGTGCCCTCTCAAATCCCTTTCCTATTCTGTCTTTGACCTTCAAGCCCGGAGGAGAGAAGCTGGCCCACCAAGGAGCCCAGAAACCTAAGACCTTGACTCTGGGTCCAGGCATGGCTTTATTGGTTCCTCGGGAAGGACCCCAGTGACCTCTTTATTCTCTAAGAGGCAGGGGTGGAGGGTGAGGGAGGGCCCCTTGCCCCCAGCTTGGGGTAAGCTTGCCCTGTCCTATTGCCTTGGGGCTAGGCTTGAGGCCGGGAGGGGAGGGGGGATTCTAGGCTAGCAAGAGGATCTGGAGAAAGCCTAGCAGTCTGCAAAACGTTGTCAGCATTCTAGGTCCAGCTGGGTGTGCCACGCCCTCTGTTCCAGGGAGGCCCACCTGGTACAGTGCAGCCCATAGCTCCTCTCCCTGCAGTTCCAGAGAGGTGGATCGCACCTCCCCACTGCCCATCGGTGGCCTCAGCTACATTCGGGGCTGCACCAAGATTCGTCTTGGCAACAAGACTGTGGGCCGGTGCCTGGATGCCACAGCACAGAGCGTCCCAGACCAACAGGCCTTGGTGGTCCTCCACGAAAACATCAGGTTGACCTTTGCTCAGCTCAAGGAGGAGGTGGGTCCTGACGTTCAACCCTCAAAGTGGGCAGGTGTGAGTCCCCAGGCTGCACTGGCTGGGCGGAGTCAGGAACGCAGGCACCTGGCTAAGGGGCAGTGTGCTGGGGCTGCCTGAGAGCCCCAAGGGGGTGGCAGGACAAGGGGACCAGACTGAGGCAGAGGTGGCCTGGATGCCTCCTGCGTCAGCAGCTCCTGGGACACGTATTAACCGTGTGTATTCCGGGCTCCTCTGCACACCCACCGAGGCCTGGGAATCTGCCTGTGCCTTTGCTCCCAGTGATTCTGATGTGAACCCCTGAGCTACACACTGAGGGTGGGCATCATGGCCCCTTCCTGCTTGCCCCCGTCTCACCCCTTGTGCCCATCTGTTTATACCAGGTGGACAAAGCTGCTTCTGGCCTCCTGAGCATTGGCCTCTGCAAGGGTGACCGGCTGGCCATGTGGGGCCCCAACTCTTATGCATGGGTGCTCATGCAGTTGGCCACCGCCCAGGCGGGCATCATCCTGGTAAGGAGGGGCTTGCTGGGCACAGCTGGAGGGGATGTCATTCCAGGAAGCCCCTCAGCCCCTCAGCCCCTTGGCCCCAGAACCAAACCAGTGCCTGGCTGGTTTCAGACCAGGTAGTGCTTTCTCCTGAGGTCGACCGAGGAGGCCTTTAGGGGTAGGGGGATGTAGAGTGCTATCCCTGTGCCTCCTGAGGGTATCCAGGCTGCAGGGGGGACCGCGGCAGATTCACTGAGCCACCGTGGATCAGAGAGGGTGTGGTATGCCGTCATACATACCCTTACTGTTTCCACCAGGTGTCTGTGAACCCAGCCTACCAGGCTATGGAACTGGAGTATGTCCTCAGGAAGGTAGGACACGTTCCTCGGGGAGGGGCCCAACTGGGGCCTGACACCAGGGCCTTCCAGTTGTCACAGAGGCTGACAGGGGTGAGGGAAAGCATGCAGGGTGGGTGACGTGCAGAGTGTCCTTCCTTAGGCTGTGTGTGGTTGGAAGGAGGTCTCAACTCCACTAAGAGAGTGGTTGGTCAGTCACAAAGCTGGCGTGAGTATTGGCATGACACGTGTGAGTCAGGGCAGTCGTGTGTGTGTGTGTGTGTGTGTGTGTGTGTGGTGTGTATGTGTTTGTATCCTGGTATGTGATGTATATGTGTCTCATGGTGTGCTGCATGTATGCTTGGGGCTGGTACGTGTATGTATTTGTCTTGGAGTGCGCTGCCTGTGTGTGTGGGAGGCGTGTGTGTGTAAGAGGGTGGTGCATGCCTGTGTCGGGGTAGTGGTGCATGCATGTGAGAGAAAACAACTGATGAGCAAGGACTCCCCCACAGCGCCAGTCTGGGGCTTCCTGCTGACTGCAGGTGGGGGGCCTCCCCTTTCACAGGTGGGCTGCAAAGCCCTCGTGTTCCCCAAGCAATTCAAGACCCAGCAGTACTACGACATCCTGAAGCAGATCTGTCCAGAGCTGGAGAATGCCCAGCCAGGGGCCTTGAAGAGTCAGAGGTGAGTGTATCCTGGGTTGGGGGTGCAGCATGTAGCACGCCTGACTCCCTCACCCCCTACCCAACCTCAGGGACCGGGCTGGCGTCTCCCTGCACCCTTCCTTAGCCCCTCACCGTTCTCCCATCCCCAGGCTTCCAGATCTGACCACAGTCATCTCAGTGGATGCCCCTTTGCCGGGTACCCTGCTCCTGGATGAAGTGGTGGCGGCGGGCAGCACAGAGCAGCATCTGGACCGGCTCCGGTACACCCAGCAGTTCCTGTCCTGCCATGACCCCATCAACATCCAGTTCACCTCGGTAGGGCAGAGGTCTCCAAGCATCAAGCCCAGGCTGACACATGACCCCTGCCCCTGTGCCCCATCCACAGGAATGAGAGACAGCAGAGGAGGTCAGGAGAACAGGCACTCTCTGCTGAGACCGGCCAACAGCTGTCCTCTCTGCCCCAGAAAACGCCAGCAACTGGTGTCCTTGTTACATGCCCCCCACCCCAGCCTCTCACTCCCAGTACAATGGCAGATTCACTGAGCCACCACGGGTCCGAGCAGGTGGAACCTGTCCCTCATTTAGCCAGTGGGGAATCCAAGGCCCAGAGAGGGAATTTGCCCAAGCCCACGCAGCTTGAGGGCAGCAGAGTCCTCTGAGCCACATTGTGGGCATGAGGACAGACACTTTATCTTCTGCATTTCTGGACCCTGACACCTGGCCAGTGGTGGACTTTTTGCCTATATACAGAATGGACAGGTGGATCCGGGACAACAGTCCTGGTTTCTGACTCCAAGTCCAGTGCTCTTCCAGGCAGTGGTGCAGGGTGGGAAGGAGGTGGGGAGAAGGGAGGCCAAGCTGTCACCTGCTTGTCTTGTCAGGGGACAACAGGCAGCCCCAAGGGGGCCACCCTCTCCCACTACAACATTGTCAACAATGCCAACATGATAGGGGAGCGCCTGAGACTGCATCTGAAGGTGAGGCGGTGCTGGGCTCAGGGCAAGGCTGCAGGGAGGGGACTTGCTGGGACCCCGTTGCAGCTAGAGGAACTAGCTTCTGGGGCTTCTGGCTCCATGATAGACCCAGCCTCCTGTCTCCATCTCCAGACTCCAGAGGAGGCGCGGGTGATCCTGCCCAGCCCCCTGTACCACTGCCTGGGTTCCGTGGGGGGAACAATGGTGTGTATTATGCACGGTGCCACCCTCATCTTGTCCTCTCCGATCTTCAATGGCAAGAAGGCGCTGGAGGCCATCAGCAGAGAGAGGTGGGCATCGGTGGACAGGCTACCCTCGGGCTCGTGACACCCTCCTATTCCTCACCCCTGTGCCCTGATGCCTCCCCCCAGCCAGCAGACTTGGGGATGTGGGTAGCAGGGGACCAGTTCCTGCCTCAAGAGCTTCTCTTGCCTGTTCCCCACAGCTTCAGCCTTGGCCCTTGCTGTAGGTTCTTGGCGGGGTGGGTGAAAAGAGGGAGTTCTCTTCTACTTCCAAGCCTAATTTTGAGAACCACCCCCCTACAGAGGCACCATTCTCTACGGCACCCCCACCATGTTTGTGGACATTCTGAACCAGCCAGACTTCTCCAGTTATGACATCTCGTCTGTACATGGAGGTGGGATGGGGCTGCTTCCCCCCCAAGGAAGCTGGGTGAGCTAGATATGCACCCAGACTTTTATTTAGGGGGCAGAAAGGGCACTATAGAAACATGGGTGGGAGGGAGGCAAATCCCCATTGTCCCTGGACACCAGCCCAAGGCCAGCTGCCAGGTGTAGCAAAGGCTCAGGGGCCAGGGGAGAGGAATGAGCTGTAGGTGGACGGGCTCCGCTGGGGTTGGAGAGCTGCGTCAGCCCTTTCTCTGATTCAGGTGTGATCGCTGGGTCCCCTGTACCCCCAGAGCTGAGCCGAGCCATCATCAACAAGATGAATATGAAGGAGCTGGTGGTGAGTGGTGGCTGGGCAGGGCTGTGGGCAGAGGGCAGACCAGGCCTGGGGTGTGGACAGACTGACAGGCACGGGGACAAGCCCAGGCCAGATCTCCAAGGGAGATCCTCTCAGCCAGCCCTCCTTCCAGAAGCAGATGTGAGAAAAGACGGTCTGACCTCATCAGCACCTGGCAAGTCAGGGAGACAGGTGGCAGCACAGTAAATATCATACATACATACATTTATATTTATAGAAATTCCGGGGAGAAATGCAGCAGGAGGGGATGGACAGCAAAGCACCGGTGTCCTGCTAGAACGTCCTGGCAGGTGGGGGTGGCAAAGTTGGGGTATGGGCTTATGACCCTTTTTGGAAGCAAACGCTGGGCAAAGATTGATGTTTGTTTTCACATGGCAGGGAAAGAGGAGCAGCGGAAGGACAATTCTGGAAGGGTGGCCATCCTGATGACCACTCCATTCTGGTTCCAATGGACTTGATGGTCTCGGCAACAGCTTCTCTGAGAGGAGCCGGGGAGGCATGATGGCTGGGGAGGGGCTCTGTGTCCTTCCCAGGACACCGTCGGGTGGAGCTGGTTGGTGGGGGAGTGCCTGAGGCCCACTGCCAGGACGTGTCTAGGTACAGGCAGCTCTGTGCATCAGCAGAGGCTGTGGGGAGAAGGTGGCGGTGGAGGTGGGAAGGTCAGTAGTCTCTCCGGCAGAAGGCAGAGGCCAGTCACCAGGACTGGCTGGGTCAGGACCTGCAGTGAGGCAAGGATCGATGTCAGGACCCCAACATCCCAGATGATGGTTGGAGAGACGGTGGAGTATCCTTTCCTCCCTTAGAGGGGGGCCCAGTCCTGCCTGCCCCTCCAGGGGAAGTGGGCATCCCGGGAGATACCAGCTCACTTGCTGGAATCTCCAGAGAGGGAATGGGGGACCTGTCCACCTGGCCCCACCTGCTTAATGGCGGCCGGCTTTCTTGGACCTCTTGGTGGGGAACTTGCAGCTGCGGAAGGCGTCTGTGTCACGGATGTGCTGGCCCTTGAACTTGGCAGGGGAGGCACAGGTGGCATCTGGGCGGGAGGCCTTGGCTTCCAGCCACCTAAAGAGACAGAGAGTTGCTGGGGTTGGGAAAGAGATGTGGGAGTGCTGGGGCAAGGGACAGTGAGCTATGGGGTCAGAAGTGACCTGGCCCCAGGATAGTCTGGAGCTGTCATCTTCATTTTACAAATGGGGAAACTGACACTTCCAGAGTCCCACGCCTATTAGGTAGCAGATCTAGGATGTATGCCCAGGATGTCTTAGGGCAGGGCCAGTGTGTCTCCACTGCATCTGTGAGGGCGGGCTCTGGGGGTGACATAGGGGCATTCTTACCGCCGAAGGCCCCGGAGCTGGCAAGTACACTTCCAGGGGTTGTTGGTGAGAGTAAGGGTCTCCAGGTTGTCAAAGGGGAAGTTGGAGGGCAACTGGTTCAAACGGTTGTTCTCCAGATGGACATGTTTCAGCGTGGTCACACCCAGGAAGGCACCATCTGAGAACTGGGGAGCAAGGTGGCATGAATGAGCACCCGAGCCCTAGTGTCCAGCCTCTCCCAACTCAATCACCTTGGAGGTGCAGGGTCCTTCCTGGACATGAGCAGTGGCATCTTGAGGAGTTTCCCAGTTTTCAAAGCGGTATGACCAAGTGGTCTCAGATGATCTAATCCACACAACCCCTTTTGAGATAGGTGGTGTTATTTCCAATATGCAGATGGGAAAGTGGAAAAAGTTCAGTCCTTTGCCCAGGGTCACACTGGCGCATAAACAGTGGCCACAGGACCACACCCAGGCCCTCAGCCACTGGCATCGCTGGCACCACACTTCCTGCACAAACACTGGGCCTGCTGAGACAGCCAGAGTTTGGTCCCACAGCCAACTGGTACACAGTGAACCCAGTCCGTGTTTGGTGGAGTGGGCAGTGGGCCCGGACTCCCCACAGCCCCAGGGTCCTGGGACTTCCCCCAGCTCTGTCCTCACTGCTCCCTTACTGCCTGCCAGACGCTATTTGTGGAGCCATCTTGGTGGAGACTTTGGCCAGGTTGGATGGCTCCAGAGGAAATGTTCTATTGGTGCCCACATCTTGGCCCAGACGCCACAGTTTCTGTCTGGCCTCCTCTGCCCCAAATCAGCCCCTGATTCTCTGCTCTGCTGCCCGCTGGAAGACCACTCTGGCACTGGTGGGCCACAGGGGAATCTGATTTCAGCTGGGGAGGGGCTGGGGCTGAAGAAGAGCTGGCTAGACAGGCTCCATGCACTCAGATAAAGGTTGGCTGCTGCCCAGGTAGGATTCTGCCCACATCTCCATGCCTGCACCCTCTCCTGTGGCCCAGGTTGGGGAGAGAAGTTCTCTAGTAACCAAACTGTCCTCTACTCACACCTCCTGGCTGAAATCCCTGTAACCCTCGTCCCCACCCAAACCTCTTGGCCGAAGCCCCAAGAGGATAATACACCGGAGTGATTTTCCAGTCCCAAGGAAGGGATTCCACTCCGATCCAAAGTAGCCCTACCTGGCCAGACATCAGCATCCCAGGGGAGAAAGGACTGAGTGAGGATGCACACAGGAGAGGGGTCTGGTGACCAGGGCAGGCAAAGGGCAGTCAGCAATCTGGGGTACAGTGAGGTGACAGCCAGTCCTCCCTGTGGGGAGATAACTGGGGCCTTGTTGCTCCTGCCTTTGCCCCCCATGGACCCACGGGCACCATGCCTGCAGCCTGGGGGAGCCCTGGGTCCCCATCCTTGACCTCCCTACTCAGTTAAAATGGACCTGAGGATGGGATGACTTGCGTGTGTATGTGGACCAGGCGGGGCTGTCCACCCATGGGGCATGGAGGAGGTCTTCCTCAGATATTTGCTCCCCGCTCACTCCCCAGGCCCCCCTCTACCTTCGCATACACGCACAGCCCCCACCACGAACAGGGTCTCTTTGTGGGCCTGATTTGCTCAGCGCCTCTGGAAGGCTCCTCAATAAACAAACCTTCCTTTATGGGGTGGTAGGTTTACCGGAGACGGGGAAAAACAGCAGAGGAGGGGCGGAAGGCGCAACAGGAAGAGGTGGCTGCTGCTCACAGTGGGGGGTTTGGGAGCACTGGAGATGCCTCCTAGGGGGCTATTTGTGGGGCCAAGGCAGCCCCACTTCTTTTATAAGTAGGCATCCTAAAAGGGTAGTGGCTGAAACTAGCAGGGATTAGGGTGGGGATGTGACAAGGTGTCAAAGCTCCTCACCTTGCAGATAGCCAGAGGGACAGGGAATCTGGGGGTAGGGGATGGTGCCAGCTGTGGCCCTGGCTCCTGGGGTCTCTGGGGAGGGAAGAAGGAGCCAGGGCAGAGCTACCACCTAGGAGCTCACCTTCTCCAGGTTGGTGTTGTCCAGCCAGAGGGTCTCCAGGTATCTGCCAAAGGACTGGAAGGCATTGTCAGGGATGCTTTTCAGGGGGTTGTGGGACAGCTTCAGCTCCTCCACCACCCTCAGCTTGTTCAGAGCAGCAGAGGGGTAGCTGGACAGCTGGTTCCTGTCCACGTGGAACTTGGCCAGGTTCTCCACGTCGTCCAGGGCCCCGGGCTGCAGTGAACTGAGTGTGTTTTCCGATAGGTAGAGCCAGCGCAGGTCCTTGGCGCCCTGGAAGGCGCCTGAGCGCAGCTCACGGATCTTGTTGTTGTTGAGCTGCAAGATGAAGAGGTTGACCAGCGGGGACAGCAGCCCCCGGGGCAGCTCAGTCACCTTGTTGTGGTCCAGGTAGAGGTAGGTGAGTTCGGTAAGGTCGTCGAAGGCACCGGGCCGCAGCACGCGGATATCGTTGTGGGACAGGTACAGGTAGATGAGCTGTTTGAGGCCGCGGAAGGCGCCAGCAGCCACCTCGCGGATTTGGCAGTGTTGCAGGTGCAGCGACACGAGGTTCGGCATGGCGCGAAACGAGTTGGCAGCCAGCACCGGGAAGTTGTTGCGCTGTAGGTTGAGCAGCTTGGTCTTCTCTGACACCTTGGGGATCTTCTGCAGCCCCACCTTGTCGCAGATGACATGCTGCAGGTCGCCGTGGCAGTGGCAGTTCTGGGGGCAGGCGGCCAGCGCCGGCAGCAGGCCGGCCAGGAGGCCGAGGCTGAGCAAGAGCATTGGGCGGGCCATGGCCGGGACGCCGGGGCCGGGGCTGGGGGCAGCGACGGCGGCGGGGCGCGGGCAGCGGCAAGTCCTGGGAGCTCGGGTCTCCTGCCCTATTTATACGGTGGCCCTGACCACAGCCGGCGGCCTGAGCCAACTCCTACGTGGAGCATCGAGGCCACCGGGCTTAACTCCCTCGCGTCCAGAGATGCGCTCCCGCCCTCGAAGGGGCAGGGGGCGGGAGCCTTTCCCCCAGCTGGCGACCGTGCGTGGGGACCTGGGGCCGTGGCCCCCGACCCCGCCCTTTGCTCCGGGCTCTCAGATGCGGCTCCTCTCCCCACCGCCTTTCCTCAGGCTTTCCTTGGGGGGCGGGGGGGCGGCAATGGGTGTGTCTGGAGCCCCGCATATACACGGGAGAGGGAGAGAGGGAGGCGTTCCCTGAACTTATTTGTTTGCTCAAGTTTGAGCCTCCACGCATCCCGCCCCCCTTCGGCCAGGTGCCCTGGCCGCGGCGGGAGGAAGCGGGACTGGACGGCCGGACGCGCGTCTCGCCGCGGTCCGCCAGCTGGCGGCGCTTTAATGGGGCTCTTGTACCGCGCCGGCCGAGCGTGCGAGCCGCTGTGGCGTCGGGCTCCCCCTCCTGGCTAGACACTCCCAAGCCAAGCCTCCGTCCCCACCCTTGGGCTCAACCTTTGGCCGCTCTCCCCAGCCCTGGGCTTGCGTTTCTGTCCCCTGCACCCCATCCCCTTTTTCCATGGCCGAAGGCTAAGCAGGAGAGTGGGAAGTGGGCGGGGAGTGGTCCGCAGGAATGGCAAACGCACCTGGAGGCCACAGGCGACTGAACAAGCACAGTCGCACCATGACCCCCTCCCTAATCTCCCCAAAATATCCCCATCCCCTCATCCCCAACCCCAGTGGTCAGGACCCACCCCTGAGGGGTCTCAGGGTGGCGGCCGAGTGGCGCCAAGGTGTACTTGGCAGAGGCCACCCTTGGACAGTCACCCCAGGACTGTGAGGACGGGTAAGGGGGGCCAGGACTAGGGGGCCAGGTCAAGGGACAAGCCCTGGACAGCACAGGCTGCCAGACTCTAGGTTCTGTGGGCAGCCCCGCCCCAGCGGCCAGATTTCTGAGTGCCCATTCGCCAGCCACGATGTCCGGATTCCTGTGGAAAGGGGCTGGTGAGCAGGCAGGGTCACAGCCCAGGCCGGAGGGTGAGCTCCAGGCTGCCTGGCACAGGGTATTGTCTGTCCGGGGTGTGGGGGGAGAAACCAGAACCCAGGTTGAACCGAACCCCAGCTGTGCCAGAGCCATGCCAGCTCTGCTGCATCAGGGGACGTTCTGTAGGGGCAGGGGAATGGAGAAAGGTCCGGTGTCTTTGCTGGCTGGAGGGGACCTGGAACACAGGGTAGATAGCCCCTCTCCCCTCACGCAGTACCCAGGTGTGGGGGCCTGGTCTCCAGGGCTGGCCCTTCTCCCAAACCCCTCTCGCCCCTGGCCTCTGGAATAGGGGTCATACTTGGTCTAGAACATTCCCTGCTGGTCTTTAGGCTCCTCCAAGGCTGGTTCTGGTTTTTCTGTTGTGCAGGATGTTCCAACCACTGGAAGTGCAAGGAAGGGGGGGAGGTTGTGCCACTGGCTTTTTAAACCCCTGCTTTGGCTGTATCTTTATTTTGATGGAAATAAATTCACAGGAAATTCTCCAGAGCTTGAGGGGCACCTACCCCAAGGCCAGGCACTTGTCCCGGGTTTTGGAGGAGGGTGGGGTGTGTCTGTGCCACTCCCAGCTGGGCCAAGGCAGGCTGGCTTTCTCATCAAGTTTATGGGGACTTTGGCTTGAAAGCGGGGCGGGGGGGATGTTTGGCCTGAGATCAGGAAGGTGGGGCTAAGGCAGCCTGGGGATGTGGGGCAGAAGTCTGGGATGTTGGTAATGTCAGGAGCCACAGGCACAGACATGTGGCTGCTCCAGGGAACAGCACTGAGAGAGCCTGAGCTAGCAGAGAATGGCTCCCCTGCTCTCGATTTTACTTCAGATCTGGGCCCCCTGCAGAGATCTAGTCTGCTCACCGTCCCAGCGCCTCTGCCTTGTGACCCTGAGCCCTGCCAGTGATGTCTCTGCCCCACCATCCAGCTGCCCTCCACTTTCCCCTATCTCTTATGAGTTCCTTCCCATTCCCCCAGGGGAGCTCACCCCATCCCTCTGCAGTCGCCGAGGTCCCACCTAACACCCTTTCTGGACCCTCTAGGTTGCTTACGGAACCACAGAGAACAGTCCTGTGACCTTCATGAACTTCCCTGATGACACCGTGGAGCAGAAGTCAGAAAGTGTGGGCAGAATTATGCCTCACACGGAGGTGAGTCCCTGACCAAGACCCCCGGGTCCCACCTCCCAGCACTCAACTGGGGCACACCCACCTGGGACATCTGCTGCTTTCAGTTAGAGATCTGGACAGGCAGGATGCTGAGAGCCTCCCAGCAGCAGGGGCCTGGCCCCTGCTTTCTCTGCGGGCTGCAGCATGAAAGGAGAAGAGCTGAAACAGCGGCCATGAGCAGCTGCCAGCTGAACTTCTCTGCAGCCTCCCTTCCTGTCTGAGGTGTGTTTTTGCCAAGCCCACTGTCTGTTTCGGGCAGCCACAGCTGCCTCAAAGAGGAGCCAGAGCACAGAGATTTTTCCTACACAACTCTTCTTCCCTCAAAGGCCCCCCTGCCTCTCACTTTAGCAGAGTTCCTCTTTTAGCTAGGCGTAAACACTTCATTTCCCAAGCAGTCTGTCCGTTTGGGGGTCCCTTGCCCCTCAAAGGCTGCGCCAGAGCACATCTCAATCTCAAATTCCCAGTCATCACCCCTTTCCTGCTCCAACACTGGTGGTTTATGCCAGCCGGCACCTGGTTTCCCCTGCCCCCTTGTACCCTTGCCCCTGTGGGATCACTGCCCATGTGCCCAAGTAGGCTGCTTCCCCTGGGACTGACCTCTATCCTGGTGGGGATCTGCCCTGCCCAGTCCCCTGGAGCAGTCCTGCACAGAGCGAGCCAGCAGGGATGTGAGCCCCCTCCCAGGTGTCCACCATCCTCATCGGCACTCTCACTGGGATGCCCCCCTGGAAGGCAAACAGGGCCAGGCATAATTCTACTTATTTCACAGATGCAGACACTGAGACACACAGAGGCTCAGCTTTCCTTGGCATGGTGGCTACAGCTCCTATAGCTCATTTCTCTACTAGGCTTTCAGACGATGCTTCTCCTGTTCACATGATGCTGCCACGCCACCTTCTTTGGCTTCTTTATTTGCTGCTTAATGGGAAGTAAGAGGAGACTCCCTTCTCTTCTGGCACAGCTTATAATTCTTTAGCCGGCCTTGCCCTCCACAGGCATCTTTTTCTACGGCAGTTCCCTGCACACTTCATTTCCTCAGCACCCCCGGCCTGGGCCTCAACTGTTCTCCGACTGGTGATGGGTCTACTCTAGCCTTTGTTTCTCTTCCCTGGACTGGGATAGGCAGAGCCAGGGGCCTCAGTATTGGGGGGAGGGAAGGCAAAGCTCTCCCCCATTCCCAAGGGCCACCTATCCGGAAGCAAGGGTGTGGGAGGCCCCAAGCTGAAGCTGGCTTGTCTCAGGCCCGGATCGTGAGCACGGAGGCGGGGACGCTAGCAGCGCTGAACACTCCTGGGGAGCTGTGCATCCGAGGGTACTGCGTCATGCTGGGCTACTGGGGCGAGCCTCAGAAGACGGAGGAAGTAGTTGATCAGGACAAGTGGTACTGGACAGGGTGAGAGGGCAGGGCAGGGCGGAGGGGAGGCTGGGGGTCCTGAGGTTGAGCTGGGGACGTTAAACTAGCACAGGGAGGACATGGGTGTCAAAATGGCTGCTCGCATCCTGGAGACTTAATTTCCAAAATGTGTATGATGCGGATAATCCTACGACGATGGGGATAATCCTACGCAGTATGGAGGAAAGCGACTGGGACGGCGCGCCACACCGGTGTTCACGGTCTGAGCCCAGAGTCAGTCACTCGTTTGTTAGCTCAGCAAATTCTTACTACATATCCACTATGTGCCGACACTGTTCTCCACGCTGGTGGTCCCTGGAAAGCGTCCACGTCCCACATGTCTGGTGAAGGAAGACATAATTTCCAACATCGATAAGCACCACAAAGAAAATAAAATCAGGTTGTAGGAGACAAAGTAGCTGTGGTGGGGAGGGGTGGTCAGAGAAGGCTTCTGGAAACATGTGAGCTGAGACCCAAGTGATGAAAACTAAGCCAGCCATGAAAAGCATATGTGCAGATATATTGAGAGAGAGAAAATGTTATAGGTGTTGGTTTCTTTTTGTCTGCCTCCCCCACTAGACTGTAAATTCCAGGGACTGTGTCTTGTTCCTGCCGTGTCTCCCAGCATCTAGAGCAGTGGAAGACACATAGTAGGTGCTTGATAAATGCTTGATGTGTGAGCAAGGGAGTGAGTGAGCAGACGGGGCAGAGACAAGAGGCCATTCCCGGGCTTCCCTTACAGAGACATCGCCACCATGGATGAGCAGGGCTTCTGCAAGATCGTGGGCCGCTCCAAGGATATGATCATCCGGGGCGGTGAGAACATCTACCCCGCAGAGCTGGAGGACTTCTTTCACACACACCCGCAGGTGCAGGAAGCGCAGGTGAGGCGCTAAACCCAGGCGAGCCCAGGTAAGACCCCAGGAGCAGGAAACATGTGTGAAGATGGGGATGTCTGATATTTGTCTCTGTCCCTGGAAGGTGGTGGGAGTGAAGGACAGCCGGATGGGGGAGGAAATTTGTGCCTGCATTCGGCTGAAGAATGGGGAGAAGACCACGGCTGAGGAGATCAAAGCTTTTTGCAAAGGGAAGGTGGGAGCCTCAGCCCGCCCAACGCTGACGCTGCTCAGTTCTTCACCCACCTCCCCCTGCCAGCCAGCAAGCGGGGGTGGTTGCTCTGCCCTTGATGAACCCGATTCCCTGGCCAGGCGAGCCCTTGATCCCCTCCCCCTGACCCTGTGACCTTGCCCTCAGCCTCACACCTTACCTCCCTTTGCCCTGCAGATCGCACACTTCAAGATTCCCCGCTACGTGGTGTTTGTCACAAACTACCCCCTCACCGTCTCAGGAAAGGTGCGTAAGGAGGGGACTAGGAGGGGCGGGGCAGGCCTGGGGTCTGGAGACCAGATGCAGAAAAGGCCAGGTGGCCCCACCTACGCCTCCCTCAGCAATGGGCAAGAGAGTCCGTGGAGAGGCTGGCGGTAGGGAGACTGAGTCACCCCATCCCGGTTTTCCCCAGACTTCCCTGGTTTTAGCACTAATAGCCTGGGAAACTTCTCAGTCCCAGGCAAACCAAGACAGCTGTCACCCTAGCAGGGGCCCCAAGCCTAACTCTCATACCTTTGTCTTTCCTCTAGGTCCAGAAGTTCAAACTTCGAGAGCAGATGGAACAACATTTAAATCTGTGAATAAAGGGGGAGAAGGGGTCCTCCCAGGCCCTCCTCCTGCCCCTCCCCCCACTCCCCTTGTCTGTCTTTGTGATTTGGCATAAAGAGCGTCTCTGTTTTCTTTGGTCTCTTGCTGGTGTGCTGTCTTGGCAGCTACTATGGGATGGAGAAGGGAAGAGAACGAAGGGAAACTAGCACTTTCGGACCTCTGGTTCCTTGTCAACGATGATGCAGAGCACTTCCATACGCGTTATCTACATAATTGACTGCCCACCCTTGGTATCCCTTTGAGATAACAACCCAATTTAAAATTTTTAGGCTATACTCATTTAATTCTTTCTCACATTGTTGCCAGATTAGCCCAGCAAGAAGTATTCTTTTTTTCTAACACCTTGATTGAGATATAATTCAAATACCATCCTAACCCATTTAAAGTGGACAATTCAGTGGTTTTTAGTATAGTCACAGATAGGTGCGACCATCAGCATAGTCAATTTTAAACATTATCATCAGCTCAGAAAGAAACCCCATACCCTTTAACTAACACCCCTCATGCCCCTGTTCCTCAGGCCCCCTCCACCAACCCAATTTTTATTTTTCATTTATTTATTTATTTATTTTTTGTTCGACGAACCTGGGGCTTCCTGGATGGGCAGGGCCAGGTGAAGCAGGTTGTAGCCTGACCCAAGAAATAAAAACAGCTGGGTTCCATCAGGCGCAGTGGCTCACGCCTGTAATCCTAGCACTCTGGGAGGCCGAGGCGGGAGGATTGCTTGAGCTCAGGAGTTCGACGAGACCAGCCTGAGCAAGAGCGAGACCCCCGTCTCTACCAAAAATAGAAATTAGCTGGACAACTAAAAATATATAGAAAAAATTAGCCGGGCATGGTGGCACATGCTGTAGTCCCAGCTACTCGGGAGGCTGAGGCAGTAGGATCGCTTGAGCCCAGGAGTTTGAGGTTGCAGTGAGCTAGGCTGACGCCATGGCACTCTAGCCCGGGCAACAGAGTGAGACTCTGTCTCAAAAAAAAAAATTAAATTAAATTAAAAAAAAAAACAGCTGGGTTCCAAACGGTGCATAGGTCTCCAGTTTGCAGGGCCAGAAAATTTCCTCCTGCCTCCACCCTTACCTTCCAGCATGCCTGCCCACTGCAGTGGCTGCCGCCTCTTTAGTTTTTAAGAGACGAAGATAGGTTTAGGTCCTCTAAGAGCCAGGCCCTCTGCTAGGTGCTTTCACATACATTATCTCTCAAAATCTTTCCACCAACCCTGTCAAGTAAGCATTGGCCCCACTTCACAAATGATGCAACTGAAACTCAGGGAGGTTCAGTGTCATGCTCAAGGTCACACAGCTGGGATTAGAACCCAGCTGTCTGTGAAGTGGTTTCACTGTGCACTGGTTACCAACTTGTCTGAGTCTGGTGAGGCAGACCACCCACACACAGGGTACATGCAACAGGTTAATTGCTTACAGTTAGTTCACCCCCCCCCCGCCACCCACCCCCCACCAAGGCTCAGGAGAGCTACTGAGGCAGGTGGAGTCTCATCTGTGTATACCCCACTTGCACTGCAGCGGAGGGACCCCAAAAATCAGCCCACCCTGGGTTTTATACCCTGGGGCCCCATGACAGTTGGGCTAAAGCACTGAAGTTCATCCTCTTTCTAGAGGGGACTGGACCAGAGCCTGGCTGTTCTGGCCAGTCAGTTCCTATCTCAGGATGATGCATTCCCAACACTTCCTATAGTTATTCTTGAGCGCTACAAGATGGAAGCGGGGAGGGTGGGAGGTTGAGAAATGGGTTGGTCCCAGGCCACTGGGATAAGTCCTATATTGTCCATGATCTTTCCACTTCGTGGGACACTTCTTCAGGAGCCTTCTTTCCCAGCCCTTCACCGGCACCCTGTCTCTCCTACATACACCATCGCTGACTCTACCCCAGCATGTACACGGCCAGGTACCCGAGTTGGACTGACCCCTCAGGCTACTACTCTCCTGGCCAAGCCAATTTCCCCTGGGATTTTCTGCTCCTTCAAGATCCAGCCCAAGTGCCCTCTTGCCCTGCACTGACTCACACACTCTCATCACAGACTTGCGGCACTCAGCACACTGGCCTGGTGTCCCGCGCGCACTGAATTATTAGTAACAGTGTTGCCTGTCCTGGCTGGTTGGTTTGCCTCTCTCCTGTCAGCCTGCAACCTGATCTTATGCACCCAGATGTCCCCAGCGCCCAGCTCTGAGCCAGGCACATAAAATGTGAAGGAACGGACTGAACGAACTAAGAGCTCCTGAATGAGTCAGGGAACTCGCTCTGGCACAGCCAAAAGGCCGGCACCCGCCCCACGTCCTCGGGAAAGGACCGATAGCCTGCGGAGGTGGGTGCATCGGTGCCCGGCAGGTGGCGCCAGAGACCCGCGGCCCCAGGCCCTCTCTGCGCGTCGCCGGACGCGGCGCGTGGTCACGCAGCCCCGCTTCCTTCCGCCGGGGCGGCCCGCTGGGCTCCGCACTGCACAGACCGGTGCGTCCTGGGCGCGTCTCTGGCTCAGACCCCTGCCCCGCGCCGCGTTGGGCGCCATGGCTGTCCCCCAAGCCCGGGCCCGCGGCTGGGCGGCGGCGGCCAGAGTGGCCCAGCGGCGCCGCCGCGTGGAGGGCACGGGAGGACCCCCACGTTCTGAGCCCGCGAGCCAGCGCGCGGCGCTTTACGTGCACGTGAGTGGGGCGGGCCCGCGGGGTGCAGCCGTGGCGGTCCAAAATCTAAGTGACGGTTTGTCACGCTAGGAACCCACCTGCCGTCTTTCCCATCGCCAGAGGTCTAGGATAAGACCCGGTGCCCTGGCAGGGAAATGGCTTGGTCTAGAAACTCGGTCTCTGGTACTCACTGGCTCCGTGACCTTGACCAAGTGGTTTCCCTTCTGAGCCTATTTCCTCATAGTAATCCCAGTGCGACCTGCTTTGGGGAATTGTGTGGCTTAGATGCCATAGCCACTGTTGATGGACCTCGGAATGGAGGTGGGGATGTGTGTGCCTGAGCCCTGGAAGTGGCCGGGACAGCCCAGAGTCACCCCTCACCCCGCCAATGCACCCCCTGCCCCCAGTGGCCCTACTGCGAGAAGCGCTGCAGTTACTGCAACTTCAACAAGTACATCCCCCGCGGCGTGGAGGAGGCTGCCATGCGGAAGTGTCTGGTGACTGAGGCTCAGACGCTGCTGCGGCTCAGCGGGGTGCGACGGTCCGTACTGGGGGCTATAGGCAGGGTCTTGGGAATTGTTTGGGGGAGCGAACAGGACAGGTGCAGGCACCCCAGAGGGCTCCCCGGGTCTCATCTTCTCCATCCTCTTCCTCCAGGGTGGAATCTGTGTTCTTTGGTGGGGGGACGCCCAGTCTGGCCAGTCCCCACACCGTGGCTGCTGTCCTGGAGGCTGTGGCACAGGCAACTTACCTGCCTGCAGACTCCGAAATCACACTGGAGGCTAATCCCACTTCAGCCCCAGGCTCCAGGCTGGCAGAGTTCGGGGCAGCAGGGGTCAACAGATTGTCCATTGGCCTCCAGGTAACCCATCTCACCCTCCCCATCCCAGTGTGCCCAGACCTTCAGTGCTGTCCCCGCTTTAGTCGCTTTCATTCATTGGGCAAATATTTATTGAGCTCCTTCTGGGTGCCAGGGCCCAGTACACAGTAGGTCCTGTGGTGACACTTTTGTAACTACTTAATTGTCTGCTGCTGTCCTAGACCATGAGCTCCATGAGGAAGGGATCAGGCATGACTTCATGTATTCCAAGCACCTGCCATATGCCTGGTAAAGTAGTAGGTGCTCAAAAAAGATTTGTTACACAATTGAAAATGGGGAGGCAGGTATATAGTCAGATCTTTGCAGCATGGTAAATACTTCCTACAAAGGGGGTCTCTACAAAACTCTTTCAGAGTACAGCCTGAATGGCCGCTCAGTCTGATGAAATCACAGAAACCTTCCTGGAGGAGGTGATGTTTGAATGAGTAGGATGAGTTTACCAGGAGAGAGGGTGTGGGAGGAAAAGACACAGGATATGGAAGAACCTTGCATGTTTGGGGGGAGCTGTGAGTCATTCCTTGTGACTGGAGAGGCTGGAGACAAGGCAGAAAGATCAGGCTGAAAAGCTTCCAGTCACTACTAAGGAGTTTGTTTTTTTCCCTAGTAGCGATAGGGCAGCCATTGAACGTTTTTAAGGAGGGAGAAACCTACTCCTCTCAGGTTGACCTCTGATATTTCCTTTGGGTTTTAGGGTCGTGGGCTTTGTCCTGATGGGATATATTGACAGGGACACATCATTTCTAAGATATTCTTGCCCAAATGCATATCATGAATCTGATTGTGAGGAAACGTCAGGAAAGCCTATGTTAAGAGACTTTTTCAAAAAAATTTTTTTGAGCCCGGGCACGGTGGCTCACGCCTGTAATCCTGCCACTCTGGGAGGCCGAGGCGAGCGGATCATTCGAGCTCAGGAGTTCGAAACCAGCCTGAGCAAGAGCAAGACCCCGTCTCTACTAAAAATAGAAAGAAATTAATTGGACAACTAAAAATATATAGAAAAAAATTAGCCGGGCATGGTGGCACATGCCTGTAGTCCCAGCTACTCGGGAGGCTGAGGCAGAAGGATCGCTTGAGTCCAGGAGTTTGAGGTTGCTGTGAACTAGGCTGACGCCACGGCACTCACTCCAGCCTGGGCAAAAGAGTGAGACTCTGTCTCAAAAAAAAAAAAAAAAAAAAATTTTTTTGTGATAATAACAGAAAGCATGAGCTCTACCCTCTTGAAGTTTTACATGGACAATATTGTTAACTATAAGCAGTGTTGTACAGCCGATCTCTAGACCTTATTCATTTTAAAAAAACAACTGGCCTGTATTCTTCAAAAATGTCAATGACATGAAAGGCTGAGAATCTAAAGTAGATTAAAAGAGACAGCTGAATGCCATGTGTGGGCCCTGATGGGGTAGAAGGGGGAGATTGCTACAGTAGACATTATTGGGCCAGTTGGCCAAATTTGAATATGACTATGTATTAGATAATGGCATTGTATCAATGTTAAATTTCCTGAATTCTATAATTGGATTGTGGTTATGTAAGAGAATGTCTTGTTCTTAGGAAATACACACTTCAGTATTTAGGGAATAAAGAGTTTGTAATATCTATAACTGTGCCATTCAATACATAGCTACTAGCCACATGCCAGTGAGCACTTGAAATGTGGTTATTTAAGTTTAATTAACTTGAATTTAAATAGCCACATGTGGCTAGTACCTACCATACTGGACAGGACCGATATAGAACATTTCCCTCATCGCAGAAAGTTCTTTTGGGCAGTTCCGGTCTATAACTTACTCTGAAATAATTTAACATTATAACAATAATATTTAGAGAGAGACAAAGTAAATATGGGCAAATGTTGGTGAATGTAAATGAAGGTGTTTATTGTGCTTTTCCTCCAACTTTTCTTTAGGTTTGAATAATTTCAAAATAAAAAGTAAAGTAAAAAAAGACTGTTGGCTTTGGAGTCAGTCCTAAATTTGGGGTCTAACTTTGCAACAGTGTGGCCTTGGGCAAGTTACTTAACTCCTCTGAACCTCCGTTTTGTCACCTGTAAGATGGAGCTCATATTGGAGGGTTATAAGGATTCAATTAGACACAGTGTAAAAATGCTTGGCATTTAGTGACCCTCCAGTGATTAGCAGCTCTTGGTACTGGCTTGACTGTCGCCCTTCCACCTTCCAGCTGCCGGCCCTGTGCTGTGTTCCCTGTATCTGTGTCTCCTCCGGTAAAGCGGAGTGTTCCCATCTGGCTCTGAGCCAGCCAGTGTGCTTACACCTGACCCTCTCTCTCCAGTCCCTAGACGACACAGAGCTCCGACTGCTGGGGCGGACACACTCGGCCGGCGACGCTCTGCAGACTCTGGCAGCGGCGCGGCGCCTCTTTCCGGGGCGCGTGTCCGTGGATTTGATGCTGGGGCTGCCGGCACAGCAGGTGGGGCCGTGGCTTGGGCAGCTGCAGGAACTCCTGCGCCACTGTGACGACCACGTCTCCCTCTACCAGCTGTCCCTGGAGCGGGGCACCGCACTCTTCGCGCAGGTGCAGCAAGGCACCCTTCCTGCCCCCGACCCGGAGCTCGCCTCTGAGATGTACCAGGGGGGTCGAGAAGTCCTTCGCGAGGCTGGCTTCCGCCAGTATGAGGTCTCCAACTTTGCCCGGAATGTGAGTCCTGGGGCTGATGGCTGGACTTGGAGAATGGGCAGACTGAGGTGTGACCAGGGAATGGTGGCCCTCGAAAGACAAGGCTTCCTGCTGGGTGCTCTCAGGCCTGAGTTGGTGGGACGCTCTAACCAGGTGCCCTTCACTTGAGCGGAATTGTCCCACCCTCTTCACTCTGCACCGTTTCCTCCCTCCCCACAGGGGGCGCTCAGCACCCACAATTGGACTTACTGGCAGTGCGGTCAGTATCTTGGCGTTGGGCCTGGTGAGTCCCCTGAGAACTAAGGAAGGGATGATTCAGGAGAGGAATGTCAGGGCTGAGTGAACTTGGGCCACTTATTTGACCTCTCCAAGCCTCTAGTTCCTCATATGCGAAATGCTGCAAAAAATAATACCAACTTTGTAGAACTATTGAAGCTGTATTTTAAGGTGCTTGACACAGTGCCTGGCACTGTGGTTCTCAAACTTTAGCAGGTATCGAAATCCCCTGGAAGGCTTGTTAAAATCCAAAGTGCTGGGCCCCACGTCCAGAATTTCTGATTGGAGGGGCTGGAGTAGGGCCCAAGGATTTACGTTTCTAGCACATTAGATGCAGCTGGTCCAGGGACTGCACTTTGAGAACCACCGGTTTAAATCTGGTAAGTGCACCGTGTTAGCTGCCATTAATGCAGGGCTGGTTGTTGATGTTGTCAGGAGCCCATGGACGATTTGTACCCCAGGGGGCCGGGGGCCACACCCGGGAGGCTCGAATCCAGACACTGGAGCCTGACAACTGGATGAAGGAGGTGATGCTGTTTGGTCATGGTACCCGGAAGTGCATCCCCCTGGGCAGGCTGGAGATGTGAGTACCCATGGGCACAGGGCTCTTCACCCAGGGTCCCCCACACCCCCAGAACCGCTTGCGCCATGTGCACATCTTTATTTCCCACCTTGCCCCACCTCCTGCCCTGCCACATACTGCCCCATTACCCCTTATAAAGATGTCCCAGCATAGGGCCTGAAGAACAGGAGAGGCACAGGTCTCCTCTCCAAGACCCCTTGGGGATTTTTCTTTCAGGCTGGAGGAAGTTTTGGCCATGGGCCTGCGCACTGATGTGGGGATCACTCACCAGGTACGGGGTTAGGGGTTCTTGCACGCGTTCCCTCCTAAGTCTTGCAGAATCAATCTCTCTCTCCTACACACACATGCACACACCCTCCCATTCTTCTGAAGTTGGGGGCTGGAGGTGGGGCCTAGGTCCAGCCAAGGCCTGCTGGGCACCAGCAGTGGGCAATGTGGTACATAGGTAAGAACTCTAGCCTAGGGCTGCAGAGACACAGGTTCTAGTCCCGGGTCTACTGCAACCTTGGGCACAAATCCTTTTGCCTCTCTGAACCCCAGTGTTCTCAGCTGTGTGAAGGAGTAAACTAGATAACAGGTTTCCAGATGTTTTTAAGCAGCACTGAAAACCTCACATAGGAAACACAAGAGATAATGATCGATCAAACTCAGAGCTGCTCCCGATGAAATCAGGGCCATAAAGCCCTGGCTGGGGCTGGCCTGGGGGATGGGGAGAGGGGGAAGAGTAGGAAGGCCTGGCTTAGCAGGGAGCTGGGCTTCAGCCTGAATGTGGGATGGGAGTGAAGGTGCCCACCTCCCTGCTGGCCCTTTGGCCTGGTTCTGCTGTTCGTGAGCCTCAGCTGCTGAGATCCCAGTGCTGGACTGGACCCTCCCGACTCCTCACTGCACCCCAGCCCCGTGTCCCAGAGTAAGCCAGCCAGCTCCCACTTCTGAACCTTCTGGTTTCCCTAGCACTGGCAGCGATTTGATCCCCAGCTGACCCTGTGGGATGTGTTTGGAGCAAGCAAGGAGGTGAAGGAGCTGCTGGAGCGGGGCCTACTGCTGCTGGATCACAGGTGTGTTGGGGGGCAGTGGGCAGAGGAGGGCTTAGGTGTTCCAGGTAGCCCCAACTACAGATCCACAGACCCAGGAGAACTGAGAAGCACTGGTGGGGGATGCACCTGAAATTGGTAAGATGAAGTGGTCACACCCAGGCCTCTTGGTTTTCCAGAGGTCTCCGGTGTTCCTGGGAGGGTCTGCCTGTGCTAGACTCTCTGTTGCTGACCCTTCTGCCTCAACTCCAAGAGGCCTGGCAGCAGAGAACCCCCTCTCTTGTGCCAGGAGGATGATCAGATGTTCCTGAATCCCAAGGTATTACCAGGTGGGCTCAGGCTGAGCCGGTACTGCAGACATCTCTGCTGTCCGGTCCCATCTCTGCTCTGTGTGGTCACTGCCCGGCCCTGGCATCCATGAGAGTGGCCACAGGGAGGTGGATGGGAGGACATTTCTGGTCTGGAACTGGCATCCCATTCAGCATCTCAGGACTCGCAGACCAGCACGTGTTCCATGGCTGAGAATTACTCACTGCCCACATCAGCTTCTTTTGCCTTCTTGGTACCAAAGAGTGAACCGTGTTTGGAAATCTCCCTACAGAGAATGACCTCCAGAAGAGAAGCCTTCCTCACTCTGGAGTGAGGTCCTGAGAAAGCTGCTTGAGTTAGGAAAACCATATCCCCTCTAGGTATTTTAAGCAGGAAGGGATTTAATATAGGAATGAAGTATTTACAAAACCATTGAAAGGGGTGGAGAAATGAAAACCGGAGAAAGCCACCACCCTGTGTCGGGAAATCAGAATGTTGCAGGAGGCACAGGAAACTCCTGCTGATGGTCTCAGCAGCCAGCAGCATAAAAGCAGATGATTTATAGGAAAATGCCCAGAAGACACTACAAAACCTCGTGCTTACTGTCTGCCACTGTTGGAGAAGGAGTAATGGTTTCTACAAGTGCCTCTCATTAGTGGACTCTAAAGCAAATCCTGGCTGGCAGGAGACTAAGGAATATAGTTTTCAGGTTTCCAGCCCCTGCAATACAGGAGAGAGCATAGAAGGACTGGCGTATGCTGGCGGACCCATGCATGTCTCCAGCGCGGTGGCTTGCTGGACTCTGAGAACAGTGGGAAAGGTCAGAGCAAGGCTTGCCCTTTCTCCTCTGCCAGCCAGGGAATGTTTCAGGTGGCAGGAGCCACAGTCTCTCCTGATCCACTCCCCCATGTCCCTCCCTCTCCTGTAGCCTTTCCATCAAGAGAGTGAAGGTGGGAAGACCCAGAGCATTTGTGATTCTCTTTTGTCTTTTACCTACAGAAATATTTCCATGGTTCTATTCAAATAGCCTAATAAACCCATCTGGAGCCTGCCTTTACTCTGGCCCCTCCTTTGTCCCGGCTCCTTCCCCATGTGTGGGATTCTGATTTGGGGACTAGAAGCTTAGTCCAGGACTGAGATTCCTTCCCCCACTCCTTATATTTTATTTTGAAAGATTTCAAACCTATACAAAAGATGAAAGAATAGTTCAATGTAAACCATATATCCTTCCTCTGCAGTGTTTCTGGAAAGCCTGGAAATAGGCAGACATTCATAATATCATCAAGGACATCTTCCAGCTATAAAAAAATAAGATAACCATGTTCCAGACTTTTTGGTCATCCTATAGATTCATCATTTGTTCATTTTGGCCACAATTACTTCATCTTTAGATAGATTAGAGAGATGGATGTGTATACATTTTTTTTTTCTGAATGATTTGAAAGTTTTAGACATTAAGCATCTCCTAGAAAAAAGTATGCTCCTATATAGCCACAATACTGTTTACAGCCTAAGAACGTTAATATAATGCAATCATACTCAGTTCGTTTTAAAATTTCCCCAAATGTCTTCAAAACATCTTAAAGCTCTTTGACTCATTGGGAGGGAGGGGGACTTCCAATAAAGTTTTGTGCTTTATTTTTGGCTATTATGTCTGTTTAGTCTCTTTTAAAACAGCCCCCTTCCTTTTTGTTTGTTTTGAAACAATGGCACTGAATTTTTCAGAGTCAAGGCCACTTCTCTGAACATTTTGGGTGTGTCTGATAGTTTCCCAATGATTGGATCAGGTTAAATATTTTTTGCAAGAATCCTATGTAGACGTTGTGTACCTCAAGGGACATAATGCCATGTCAGCCCACTATCAATAATGGCTGATTTTGATCACTTGATTAAGGTGGTGGGTGCCCAGTCTCTCCATTGTACAAGGATATTTTTTCCTTGAAATTAAGCGGATTATCATCTGGTGTGATGCCTTGAGACCAGGAAAATGTCCTACTCCCTGACGGTCATTTGCCCAGTGGTGTTGGCATCCACTGATGATCCTTGCCCAAATCAATTCTTAAATGGGGGCTGGGGAAGGCTGCAAAAATGTTCATTTCTGATTCTATCATTCCTTCTACATTCATTACCTGGCATTTATCATTTATTCCTGTTTTTTTTTTGAGACAGAGTCTCACTTCTGTTGCCCGGGCTAGAGTGAGTGCCGTGGTGTCAGCCTAGCTCACAGCAACCTCAAACTCCTGGGCTCAAGCGATCCTCCTGCCTCAGCCTCCCGAGTAGCTGGGACTACAGGCATGCACCACCATGCCTGGCTAATTTTTTCTATATATTTTTAGTTGTCCGATTAATTTCTTTCTATTTTTAGTAGAGACGAGGTCTCGCTCTTGCTCAGGCTGGTTTTGAACTCCTGAGCTCAAACAATCCGCCTGCCTCGGCCTCCCAGAGAGCCAGCCTGTTTTTTGAAGGGCTGATACTCTTAACCTGGAAAGTGTGTGTGTGTGTGTGTGTGTGTGTGTGTGTGTGTGTGTGTGAGAAAAAGAAAGAATAAGAGAGAGAGGAGGGCATTTTCCTGGGAAGAGGCTCCATAACTTTCATACCTTATGTCCCTGGGTGCCGTGATGCCAAAGTAATCTAGTACTGCTGCAGATCGAGGCATGCTAAGCTCAGCCTCTGGCTCGGTGACAAAGGTGGGGTCCTCCCCCCACTTCTCAGATATGAGCACGTGCGTTTCCCATGTGCCCAGTGGGTGTGAATATCAGTCCTTCTTTGACCCTGTGGTAACATGGTAAGTTTTACTACCTCTCCTTTATTCATGAAATATTCAGCAAGCACGAATGGTGTGCCAGGCGCTGCGCCAGGCACACAGGAGTAAGACCTGTCCCAGCCCTCGAGGAACTCATTGCCGTGTTGATAGATGTGTACAGAGATCAATTCCAGGCTTGTCAGTCAAGGCGTGCAGGTGCAGGCAGGCTGTGGGAACCTGGAGCACTTTTAGTTCGGAGGGGTTGAGAGCAGGACGGGGGAACACAATTTTCTTATCACCTCCTTTGCCCCTGGTGCCCTGGAAATCGTGGCCCTGGGGCAGCTTGCTGGGTGACCTGTGCCGTTTAGGGAAACCTCTTCCTGAGCCTTCCCTGATCTTGACATCCAAGAAGTGAGCACAGGGCTGAGGCAGGTGCACCATCAGATAACCTGGGCCCACTCAGGTTTCTCCCGGCTGCCAGGGCTCGTGCCACCTGAGATGTCCTGGGCCACCCTGCCGGGCCACCTCACGAGGCTTTGTGCAGAGCAGCTGGATGGGAGCCAGGGCTAAGTGGGGGTGTCACAGATCACCTTCTGTGACTTAGCCTGGTCCCACCCTCACCAGGTGAATCAGAGTGTCCTGGAGGTGGAGCCCAGGAATCTGGTTTTTCAGTGCTTCCTGCATAGCTCAGTCCCATTTGGGAACCCATGATTACTGTCATCTCCCCTCTTCCGTCCTGAGAGGCTGGGGACAGGAGGAAAGAAGGGACATGGCTACTTCCAGACACTACAAAGTGGGTGCGTGGTCCTTCCCTCCATATCCCAGCCCTTCCATGACTCTTCCACCAAAGAGTTTCTCTTCCTCCTCTTTGGGACTTTGCCTGTCATCTTTCCCCTGTCCTACATAGCAAGTAAAAGGGGTGAACAACCCAATTTGGTGATGAGGTGGTGAGCAAAGTTGGGGACAAGTAGTACATGTGAGTCTGTGGTTACAGCTTGAGGGACCAAACCTTCTATATGCTGGAAACATGAATCATTTTAAAACCCTACAATTGAACCCCACCCCTGGAGTAGTGCGAAGTAGGCAGGACAGCTATTTTTCTAAATATTTTTAATTTCTAAAAATTTTTTAGAAATAGGGTCTCACTATGTTGCCCAGGGTGGTCTTGAATTCGTGGCCTCAAACGATCCTTCCTGCCTCAGCCTCCTGAGTAGTTGGGACTATAGGCATGCACCACCACCCTGGCCTAGGGCAGCTATTTTAATTTCCATTTTACAGATGGGGACATTTACAGAGTTTCTCTTGACTCAAGTCCTATAAGTCAATGGTCCCCAACCCTTTTGGCACTGGGGACGGGTTTCATGGAAGGCAATTTTTCCATGGACTGGGGGTGAGGGGGAGGGATGGTTTCAGGATGATTCCGGCACATTACATTTATTGTGCAGTCAAACCTCTCTGCTAATGATAATCTGTATTTGCAGCCGCTCCCCAGCGCTAGCATCACCGCCTCAGCTCCACCTCAGATCATCAGGCATAAGATTCTCATAAGCAGTGTGCAACCTAGATCCCTCGCATGCGCAATTTACAGTAGGGTTCCAGCTCCTATGAGAATCTAACGCAGCCGCTGATCTGACAGGAGGCGGAGCTTATGCGGTGATGCGGGCGATGGGAGTGGCTGTAAACACAGATGAAGCTTCACCCACTCACCCACCATTCACCTCCTGCGGTGCCACCCAGTTCCTAACAGGCCATGGAACACACCGGTTACTGGTCTGTGGCCCAGGGGTTGGGGACCACAGCTATTAAGTAGTAAGCAGCAGACCTGCTATAACACTTTTGGACATCCAGAACTTTTCGAGACAGAGTCTCGCTCTGTCACCCCAGGTAGAGTGCAGTGGTATCATCATTGCTCACTGCACCCTCAGACTCCTGGGCTCAAGTGATCCTCCTGCCTCAGCCTCCCGAGTAGCTGGGACTACAGGCACGCACACCACCCCTGGCTAATTTTTTCTATTTTTAGTAGAGATGGGGTCTCACTCTTGCTCAGGCTGGTCTCGAACTCCTGGCCTCAAGCAATCCCCCCACCTTGGCCTCCCAGAGTGCTAGAATTACAGGTGTGAGCCACGGTATCCGGCCTTCATCATCGTTTTTTACTTATTGCAGGTCCAGGTCAATTGGCCTGCCTCTTAAATTAGGCAAAATCCTGACCTCTTTCTGGCCGCTCTGCCTCAGGCTTGAAGCTGCCAGATGCTGGGTAGCTGGGACTCTGTCTCTGTCTTTCCTCCTTGAGAAGTTCTAACAATGAGAACCTGTGTTACCCAGGCCCCATCTCTGGGAGACCATCCCCTTCCTGGGATAGAACTGCATTCCCCTCCCACCCCATTCCACAAAGAAAAGAACTTTGAATAATAGGATGAAATAACTTACGTGGCAGATTGTATTATTGTTCAAAATGTTTGCTACCCCTCCCTGAGGACCTATGTATCCCTGCCTTGTTGAGCCTGGGAAGGGCCATGAGACTTGCCCAGCACTGGTTGTAAGAGCCAGTGGGTGGTCCACCAGTTTGTTCCTCTGTCGTGGTGACCTGCAGCACTCACATGGGGACTGTTTTGTGTGCCTGGGTCCCAGAGTAAAGTAGGTGTGCATGGGAAGCAGTCAACAACAATATATGTGAGCAGTAGAGAGAAATTATCATTTGCACTTGTAAACCAGATTTTCGGGTTGTTACTGCACCATAATTGAGACTAAAGTGACTGATTTCAATTTATAATTCTACCATTCAAAGATTCACCATTGTTAAGATTCCGGTGTGTATTTTAGCAGCAATTATGATATGCGATGCGTGTATTTAGATCAAAGATGGGATAATATATGTCTTGCTCCAAAGAGCCTTCTTGTTTTATCTAATATGTGGTGGGCATCAAATTTACCTCTATATCCTATTTTTTAGTGTGGCCTCTGTAGTGTATCACTACATGGTTATGCCAAAAAATTTAGTTTTCCTATTTTTTTAATGAAACTAAAGGTTTAATTTTTGGTTATTGTTAAACTCTGTGATGAACATCTTATGTAAATATTTTTATGCGCTGGTTTGATCATTTCCTTGGGTTTAGGATAAATCTCAAGAGATGGAATTGCTGACACTGAGGATATACACATCCTCTGTTTGGATTCACAGTGCCAACCTACCCTCCAGGAAGCCTGCCCAGTTCACCCTCTTGCCAGCTTGTTAGTGCTCATTTCTCTGCGATCTCATCAATAGCAAGCATGGTCAATTTTTCCAGATGATTCCAACCTGAAAAGAATTCTTGACCCTAGCTTTATCATCAGCTAACATACCGCCTCTCTAACTTTGGCGAGTCTTTTGGTCGTCTGATCACTGCCAAGTCTGAGAGCAAAGGGGATGCAACCTCTGGGACCACCCAGGTGGAAGATTGAGCTAGAGCTGTTTCTCCCTGGCTTGTAAATTACCTCTGAATTTCTCTTACCCAGACCTCTCTCCTGATAGAATCCCAAATTTCCCTTCTCTCTTCCTCTCCCGGCTGCCCCTTCTCTTCCCTGAGGGAATTTTTAAAGCCAATTATTGTTATTAAACAAACAACATAATAGAAACATTAGGCAG